AAGAATCAAGTAGTCTGGATTCAGTCTGCAAACAAAGCATCAGATTAAGAGTGTCACTATCATCTTCCTATTTTTTATAGAAAGAAGATGAGAGAAAACATTCAAAGAACTAAATTACCACTTCTGTACACCATGTTAGATCACGTGACATAGATTAAAATTGCCCTGCCACCCATTAATAAGTACAACTGAATCGAAGTTATGCAAGAAACCTTACTTTATCAACTTTTTATTTTTATTTTTTTTTTTAACCATTCTTGCACACTTTCCATTGGACTCAATGATCCTTGTGGGCCTCTTCCAAATCAGGATATTCTTAAAAAAATTGTGAACAATGCAACAAAAGCAAAATGTTAGCCAGAGTTGCTTGGTACTCCGAAGTACAAAGTTAACATGTACAAATACCTGATACTAAACAAATGAAGATAATTTTTCTTTTTAAAAAGTAGTCACGGGAACAGAAATAATCTAGGAGTGTAGATAGCCTTATAGATCTTTTCTTATGAAGCTGTCATTAAAACTTTTTTTTTTTTTTTAATTTCTGCTCCAGATAACATTGCAATCCTTCAGTGCAAACAAATGGACAAGTTTCCCAGATACAGTCAATCAGTATTTGCTATATGCTAGTACGTCCAGTCACTTTTTGCAAAAATATGGCAGTGCTCTTAACTGCCAACTGCAAAGCTACAAGCATTACAGCCCTGTGATGATATCATTTATTTCCTATTCTTCTTTAAAAAGCATTAATTTTTCCAAATTTCTTCACTTAAATAGACTGCAATACATGTCTCAGAGTCTATTTAACTGCACTGAGAACACTACTTCTTAAAATGAGATCTTACAAGTTCAGACATTAATCCCAAATCAGGATAAAATTTCTGTATTTTTTCCATCGGAATGTCAGGTTTTCTCTAAAAACCATTTGCAGTGATCAGACATGAGAAAATGAGCTTGCAATCAAATCTACATTCCAGAAAACTGATGGCAACAGTAACAAGTATATTAAATCAGTACACTGGGCAAAGGTTCTCCTATGGTTACAGTCATTTGACCTTTAGCCAGCTCTTAATGCCCCAGCCAACCCTCTAAAGATGGAGATTTGCAGCAGCTTCTTGTCTGAAATAAGCCATGAAAAGATTCTTCTGAACCCACTATACAAGCATTCATTTAAAATGTCATGAATGTGCATGAAATCAGAGTGCTTCTAACAGCTTACTTCGCAGCTTCTGTTTAAATGCACTAACTCTGAACCACCAGAGGATAAAAGGACTCAAACCTTCCAGTCTGGCACTCATGGCCCTAAAATATACACAAGTACCTCTTCACAGGTGTGTTTACCTAGTTTAAACCTTATTTAAATAGACTCTTGATGCACACACTTTTCACAAACACCTGCTTCTCCCACTGCTGACTTGTACAAGGCTGTTGCATTCAGTCATCTGCTGTCCTAAAGCCATCCTACACACCAGCAAGCAGTAATTCAGTCATGACAATCCTGCTTACTGACTCATCCTTCCAATCAGGGCAAACCACTACAGATGTACCTGCTTTCACCTGCACATCATATTAGAATGGTCTGAAGACTTCAACAGCCACAGCAAGATTTAAGCAAACTCAATCCTTAACAGATCATAAAAAAAAGAGGCTTATGATGAATTTGTACTTCCAGACATCATTGGTTATAAAACCTCTCTCTGCTGAGCTTACATCCTAATGTTGAAACACTCAGGAAAGAGAAGATGCTTTATTAGCACTGGATGTCAAGAAGAAGCTTCCTCTTGTTGACCTAAAACCATAACAAAACTGACAGCACAAAAAGACTTCAAGATCCAGACATATCTTCTAGACTATTGAATATACTTTAAAAAGTAGTGAAATTAAAGTTGTGGTGGCAAAAACCCTAGATCCAAACTTGTATCAATTCTAAGGCCTGTATTAAATTTAAAATAACTTTTAAACCTAGCTTTATTCCGATTTTGCAAACATGAACAAAGCTTGATACTCATTGTTTGCACGCAGTCAGAACTGAGGACACCGATCCATAGTTTAACTAAGCTCTGGAAATATAAGATACCATTACAGACAGATACCATTACCATATACAGTGCTCATCCTAGTACAACCATTCAACTAATAAATTTATTTTGAAGTCATGCATACAACTCAAGATGAGAGTACCTCTATTTTTCTATTTCCATGCAGCTGCTATAAATAATAATTGAAATATATGCAGCATGTAAATATAAAAATGGTATTAAAAAAATGAGAGCGGATCAGAACAGACATGTTCATTTTCCTTTATAAATCTACACCAAGTTGCAACAGAAATTAACTTTCTCTGTAAGAATTTTAAAAAGCAACGTTATTCTCCAAAAATCCAAGGTCTTTCACTAGGTACACTGAATGGCAGAAGCGAAGTTATTCCTACTATAACCATGGGATTGTTTGTGCTGATCAAGAACACCTCTAGATGTTTCCTTCAAGTGCCCATTTAGGTATTACAGTGGGATGGGATACCACTAGGTTGCAGGCAAGAACTTACTGGTTTTGGTTAATCAAACAAAACATTTGTAATTTACTTATTCTTGTGGAACAACACTTTGAAATGGGAATCTTTAGCTGCGGGAGGTATATGGTGCATCTATATACCCTTGACTGGGGTATTTCAGCACCACAGGCATGACAGAGTTAATACCCACTAGCTCAGAGGAGAACAAAAGGTACTCCACTGCAACATGCCTAACATTTACATTGCCTCTCTTTGCTCATTAAACAGGTTTTGGTTAAATAATGAACAAACTGTATTACAGACTCCGATGAGAATTCCAAAATTATAAATCAACTGGTAAAGCCCAGAGGAGAATGAAGGGAGTGGGAGGGAAGGAAGGATAATATTGACTAATATAAAGGGCGCAGCTTGACAGTGGATATTCCTGCCACACCTGATCAAACATGCTCCATGGGGGAGGGGAAGGGGGGGCGAGAGCAAGAGGGGAGATGGGACAAGGCAGCCTGAAATTTGCATCCGGAACAGATTAAAATGGGTTCTTGGGGGATTGAGAAAATACATAATATATATTACTATAAATGCAAAATTGTACTAAAAGCTAACTCAAATGTCAAAGATTACAGCTTGAATAAATTTAAATATAAAAGCAATGCGTTTCCATGAGCTAATGAAAGAGACATGAAAGGAAGGTCTAGGAAAGAAAAAAAATAAGAAAAAACTAAGTTTGGACTTTTCACTGCCTGAAAAATGAGGCAGGAGGCTCTATATCCAAGTATTGCTTGGAAAACAGCACATGTGTAAAACTGAAGAAAAAAAACACACCAGTGATGTCCTATCTCAAGCCACTAGTCTGAAAATAGCGGTCATTGAAGCTGAAATTACCTATTTAAAAGAATCCCATTTAATCAAACCACCATGCTATGATCATTATCATATATAAGCAACTACTAGCTCAGTGTAAACTTCACCTACGAGACGACTGAACTCACAGTCTCTAAGTTCTCAGTACATTAAACTTTGCTTTCTCTAACACTAGCAGATATTTGGCTTGCGCTTTCTCCAAACAAGTCAACAACAATATTTGCATCCAGGTTCTACAGATAAATAGCCAACCCTTGATATTTATTCATATTGCATTTAATCAAGCAACCTCATCTTCTTGCTACGAAGTGGTATTTGCAGGGCAAGGAATTTCAAGAGTCTCATCTTCAAGAGAACTTTATCTCACAGAAGGAAGAGATTTGTGCCAGGAAAACATCCACCCAAGATAACTTTGGAGATAGTATGCACATCCTACAGAATATGACTGAGCTTACAAGACATAAATCCAGCATGTCATTTAGTCTGTGGAAAGGCAGAGCATCCAGAACAACAAAGACACTATCCAGAAATACACACTGTGCAAGATTGTCTACAATGTAATGACCTGACAGATGAGCCTTGCCTATAGCCAAGGGAAATGCTTCAGGCAAAAGAGGAGGGGAAAAGGAAAAAAAGAAAAAAAACAAGAACTACATTTGTAGGCAGCCACAAAAGAGGAAGGAAAAAGGACTTAAATGCTGGCATAGGTCCTCAGCACTCCTGTTCTAGTAAATATTCTTCTTAAGGGATTCCAGGCTCACCACTGACATAGGAACAGGCACACTCCACAATCAGAAATGAAAAAAGCCCATCTCAAACTTACGCTGAATGTAGTTCTAAACACCCACTGTGATAATGGGATCAGAAATAAAGCTTACTTTCAAATACTGCAAATAAGAAACTCTGGAAAGAACCAGCAGCACAGTATTAGCTCACCTCCTGACTCTCAATATATACCAAGGTTAAACAGCTGCTCCTGAAACCAACAACAGAGGAAATCTAGATGGAAATGGAAAAGTGAACTGGAAGTGAAAACCTGGTCAGAACCAGCATCGCAGCCATATACTCCACTACTGCAACCAGTACAGAGTCCCAGGACTTTTTGGTGTAACTGGTCACAAAGTAAGCCATTCACTTTGAGATTCAAGAGATCCAAGTGGAAAGTGATCTCTATTCTTGGCTTGCTACTGGTAATGAATGATGAAACCCAACAAAGACTGTAAGGAGAAACCAGATAATCTGTTTGGCAAGGTGCCTCTCGTTTTCTTGTTGCTCAAAGATTGGAAAGCATAAACAAAACACAAGATTATACATAATAATATGCCAGATTTCCTATTATTACTATATTTCCTATTATAATATTATTATATCACTATAAGCTTCAGTATAAAGAAAAAGCATGCACATAGACACACATATATATACATAAACACAAACAATACACACACACATATACAAGTGATACTATTTCTCTAGAAAAGCACATAGGTATTTGCCCTTTTCTCATTATTTGATATATCTGGATAGTAAATAAGACAAAATAGTATACCTGGACACAGACTGAAAGAAAAAATTTGTTTGCATGTACCGAAGGAAGTACACATACCTGCTGATTTCTGCATAAGCTTACCTGTTATATTATTCAGCACTTCTTTTAAGACACTAAAGCTATGCAGCAAGGGATCTCTTTCTTCATCCTATAAGTTATACATATGAAGAAAGCCATTAATGAAGCAAATATACTTCTGAAGATGCATCTTAATAACGGGTACGTAAAGACCTTGCCTTCATACCCAGGGGAGTATTATGGGTTGAGTTTATCACTATCAGACTATTTACTCCATCAAGATCAAGAGAAGTATTTTTGTTTTCCTTCTAGCACTATCCTATGTTATACAGCTCAAATGTCAAAGAATAGGTTCAAGACAGTGAAATCCACTTTGGGTTTATTGTCCTTTGAAGTATTTCTGATTAGTCCTCCACTGTTCAATAAATTTCAGAGCAGATCTATCTCATACCATATTTAAATGGCTCATCTGGATTTGCTATAATGTTAATCTATGCAGATTGTAATGGGAACAGAAATACAATGACATTTGGTGCCATTAAAATAACCTGAAGAATGAATAAACCTGAAGAAAGGATGAATAACTGCATCCTTTAGCTTTATTTTATCTTTATGTTATTAAAGTAAGTTTCTCCAAACTGTGTACATCCACAGCCACACCTACTACTGGGTGGCAGTGAGCACTAGCGAAGAAATGCCTGTTAGAAGGAACAAGGGCCCTGCCCTCTGACAAAATGAAATCACTATGCTGGATGACAGCCATCTGCTTATCAGTTGGCATTCTGAAGTGCACCACAGATTCAGTACACCACAGGCACACATCTTCACTGCGGAAGCCAAAAGCCGACTACAGCATTATTAGACTTAGAAACATTGTATTCATGACTTTTAACAAAACAGGTATGAAACTATAAGCAACTATTAAAAAAAGAAAAAAGACTTCTCTAAACCAAGCAGTTTCTGCCACAGCACAAATCAGTAGCAGCAACCCAAGGCAACTTACCAGGTGTGTGTGAGTGCTCCATCGGGCATTACGCTTGATGGCTCCCACCACTGCATTGATTTCGCCTTGTACAATGTAAATGTTTTTATCCACCATCTTGACAATCCTGAAAATAAAGATAATTCAAATCAATCTCCAATTCTCTTAGTCATTCCCCTCCTCAGACAAAACATCAAGATGGATCTAGTTAAGCAGGAGGCCTACAGAGATGCAGAACACTTCTACAACTTGGTTTTCTAAATGAAGACACGTACAGTTTTTGTCAAGAAGACGATGAAAGAAGAGCACTTTTCCACAGAACGCATTTTCAAGAACATCAGAGCAGATCGTTAGTTAGAATAGCAGCATGACTTCATCAAGGCCCAGCCCTCATTTTTCCCGGTACATTTAGGTGCAGAGGAAGGCAGTGTGAGGTACCGGGACGCACTTCCATGACAATGCAACACCACACTCACTCCTGCACTTACACAAAGTCCTGCAGACCTACACAGAACACAACACTAATCTTGTACTGCTACATAAGCATCAGTGGCATAAATAAGGCAGCTAGAGGGAAACTCTTCAGGACTTTGACAAAATAACATCATGTATAAAATGCACTGATTTTCACACCTGCTTCATTAGAAAGGCTTGAAGAAAGAGAAGGAGGACAGAAAGCAAGGGTAAAGCCCCATGAAGAAACGAGAAAAAAACTGGATAGGTCACGGGGAGAAAAAGTGAGAAAGTAAAAGGCAGACATCCACACTCATACAGACTGAGGACTTATAGAGAAAGTCTTACATCTGGTGTATGTGGAAAGAAAGCCAGAAAAGCAAAAGCATACAAGCAAAAGAGAAACGTTTTTAAGGACCTGAGAAAAAGAAAGAACAGTTTACAACAGGGTTATTCTCTCTATTCTAAGCCCAGACAAAGAGAAGCATAAACAAGTAAGAATGAAGAGGAATGAACAGACATGACTGCTTACAAAGAATAAACAGGACTTATAAAGAGACCAGAGTTAGATGAGACCATGTCTGAAGTACAAGAATACAAGAAATATTTAGTGGAACTGTATCTAATCATGAGACTTTTTCAGAAGATGAGAAAAGAAAATGAGGAATCCAGTTTGAATTCCCAATAGGATGTCCATAGGAAAGCAGCTGAAACATTAATCACAACACTTCAAACTAGACAGGTGCACTTCCAGATCAGACAAGCACACTTAAAGAACTCCCCTGGGGTGGGGGAAACAAAGGACAACAAAGATTTTTGCCCACATAGAAAAAGCAAAGCAGGAAAGGACAGAATTTTTGTAATTACTCCAAGCTTCAGCAGCACCACAACAAAAATTTCAGAGCACGTTACTGGATATGAATTCCCATTAATTAACATGTTTGAGTTATCAACAACTCTTCAAATTTTCTCAGAGCAAAACAGACTACTTCGCTAGAGGACTCTGTAAACAAGAAAGAAAAGTACTGTAAAGAAGATGCCTTATCAAGGGAGAGCATCAGATTTGTTGTTCCCATTTTTTACCTTCTCAACAGGATGAATAATCCTACAGCAACACCATTTCTTTCTTTATTCCATTATTTAGAATAACAGCACTCCTAAGTGTTACACAGTAAGTTAGGGGCAAAGACAAAAACACTTCATAGCACAGGAGCTGTCCTAACAGTCCAGATCAGTGCTACCAGATAATTCAGAAAAGCAACTGTTTGTGCCACACAGTTTGCTTGTGCCCAGAAAAACAGTGGTTTATAACCTCCTTCCACACCTGCATCTAACACAACCACAGATATTTCCTTGTGATTTCTTCAGTGCTTGAGATGTTCCCATCCTTGACAGCTACCCTCCTTCATGCATCTTTTATGCAATATTTTTTTTTCTACTTCAGCTTGTCACCTTTGTTTTAGTGTAAAATGGGAGATTTTGTCTTCCTTGGTGAATTCCTCACTCGACAACATCAACTATACAGGATGTTTCAGAGATCAACATTCCAGTCTATGAAGGTACTTTTGAGGAAATACAACGTACACGCAAATCTGCCAAAAGCCAAGTTGTTGTGTCTTCACCGTTACAAGATAACACTGAGCATGTAAAGCCTGAAGTACCAACCCAGGCATTCAGCAGTGACTTCTAGAAGCAAAGTCTCCCCTAACCTGATTTGGAAAAACATGTAAAGATACACCAAGCACTTATCACATGCCTTGCACACACACAGATGCTCAGCAGTTCTGCACGACTTTGGCATTTAAAACAATGCCAAAGCTTAAATGCTATTCTGCTACAGGAATTTGCCTGTAGTGCTGTTATTTCTCTTCTTCTACCTTTAACCTAAAAGAATAAAGAACAACAAGCTGGCTAAACTCAGTCCTCCCTGAATGTACAAAGTTTATAATGCTCAGCTTTCCACAAACCTGGTGCTACCTCCAGTCAGCGAAACATGAAGAGGACAGACAACTTTCCAGCACACACCTTTTCCTTTACACTTACTGTGAAATTAAACATGCTAATCCTTTCAAACAAGGGTATAAAAAAAATCCATGTTGCTTGATATGACCTTCCTAACATACTACAATCCTGTAATACTTTTTTTTTTTTCCTCCAAAGTTATCCTTTCATCACTAGCTATTTGAGAAGATTTGATCAGAATGCACTCTTATTTTTTTTCCCCTCACCATAGATTACATTAAATGCAACTTTATTCAAAAACTGCACACACAAATGCACACTTACTGGTCCAACACAAGTGAAACCATCAATCATGCTGGAAAACCCAAATTCACACTTGAAGCTATGGTTATCACACATACAGCACACCGCACCACAAACACTGGGTAAAGGTGGGAGAAACTTCTGCTTCATATTTAAGCTCTCCATTAACCAAGCAATATACAAACACGTTCCAAAGCAAACCACGTGCAACTGTCCTCATTCATGGCAGGGATCTTTGCAGCTGCGTGCTGGAGAATGAACAAGAAAACAGTTGCAGGGGAAAAAAAAAAAAGGCCAGAGCACTATTTTCAGAGAGATGCATCTTGTAAGCTTAATCTTTTGAACACATCAACCACTCAGCACGTGCTTAGAAGTTTAATTCAAGGAATGGAAATTGTTTCTGTAGACTCTGTTCTTCCTGAAGCATACCCTTTTCAAACTGTCTGACATCTTTCAAGCAACAGCCGCTCACAGAGCTTAGAATTGGTGTTCTATACTAAAAGAAGTTTTCAGATTGAAATTAATGCTTGAATTGAATTAACACAAAAACCTATTTCCCTCTCACAAAGGATTCATATGCCTGCTGAAATCTACAAACCCATCCTCTGATTTTGCTCCTGCTCAGAACTTCACCAGGCAGCTCCACACCAGCACAGCTGAGCATCATTCACAGTCCCCCTCTAAGACGGTTAGGAACTCAAAGAGTGGAACAAGGCAGACATCTAGGCATTTCATTGAACACCAAAGTCTAACCTTCACACGTGTGTCACTTCAGCAACCCTCTATGGACAGTGATGACCACTATTCTGAGACTCTTGAAATGGTATCAGGTGTTAAACTTTCACATAAAAACAGTGACAAGATTTACATCTGCTGATGTTATCTCACATGTGCACTGCATGCTCCACTGCTCAGCCCTGAAACATACTGCCCCAACTTTTTCTATTGCCATAAGAAGTCACAGGTACGCTTCTAAGAAACTCTACTTCCCTGACAGGGGAACGTCTGCAACTCTTCTGGAAATCAAGTTAGTTAGCATTAAAAGTGACACAGTCTGGCAGATCTCCATCACTTCACTTCTCCCTGTCACAAACTTCAGCGTTCAGCTATGCTAACTAACTCAAATCCAGTGAAATCACTACAGTAAGTTGCAGTAATGAAAAGTGCATACATACTATGCATACAGAAAGGTAGTACTTAATAACAAGCTTCTGCTGAGCAAAATCTGCATTGTTTACGATAACGCAGGAGTACAGCCTCTGACCTAGCCTCTGCATCGTGTCCCGACACAACATTCTGCTACCACAACAGGATACACAGCGCTTCCCAAACAGCAAATCACAAGAGCTTCTCACCCAGCTGCAAGCTCGCTCAGTTACCCAGGAGCCAGGTGACAGCAAAGCCTTTTCCTCCCTTCAAAGTGCCCACGCCAGTTACGTGAATCTCTCGCCAGGAAGTTAAACCTGATGTGTTTGTTTCTGTTTGTTTGATTTTTTCACAACAGCTGCCGTACAACGAACATCACAGGCAGAGAAGGTCGGAGAGCTGGAGGTATTCCTGCAAAGGCAGGTCTGGGCAGTTAGACGCGCGCTCTGAAACACGGCCAGCAGCGGCAGGGCAGCGGCGACAGCTGACAAAGGTGGCACCGGCTTCTGCAGGCCCGCGCCTTTAGCTGCGATAGCGCCAGGAGGAGACACCTCCCGCCCGGCTGCCAAAGCCGAGGAGCCGACCTGGAAGCGCGAAGGAGGGGCTCTCCCCTCGGCCGCTTCCTGCGCCCGAAGCGACGAAGCGCGGTGCCGGTAAGCTCGGGCCTCGCACCCCACGCCGCTGCGGCCCTCCGTCCCGCACGACCGCCGCGAGGTGCGGCCGCAGCTCCGCCGCGTGACCGAGCGCAGGGAGCGGGGCGCCTCGGCCCGGTCCGCGGGTCCCCCCCGGGCCGTTCCCGCAGCCGCGGGCGGTGAGGCCCGCTCGCCTCGGGGGTTCCCGGCTCCGCCCGCGCCCCCCGCCGCGGCCTCCCTCCCTGCCCGGCCCTCGCGTCGCGACGCTATCGCGACAGGCGCTCGCCGCCCGGCACTGACCCCCGCATCCAAAATGGCGGCGCCTGCTCCCCGCGGCGGCGGCCGCTTCACACATCGGTCGGGCGAGCGGGGGCTCGGCCCGGCCCTGCCACCGTCCGTCCGCCCGCCCCTTCTTCCCGGCGGCGACGGGCGAGGCGGCCGCGCGCGGGGTCCTCCCGGCCGCAGGCAAACGGAACCGGCTAGGCTCCGCTCGCACTGACGTGGAAACGGGCGCACCCCAACCCGCTGCCTGGTTACTGCGCCGACGGACGGCCCGCGGAGCCAACCCCCGCGCGGCGTGGCGGCCCGCTGGCTGGGTCGTCCAATAAAATCACGGGTTGAAGCCGGAGGAGGCGGGATATCCAGTGACAAGCCAAAGAGAACCAATGGCGGCAAAGAAGGTAGAACTAGCAGGGCCGCTAGCCAATCGTGAGGAAGTCCTGCCGCCGAGGGGCGTGGCCAAGCCTGCGGGGAGCAGCAAGGGCGGTTGACGGGAAGCCGGGAGGCGGGGTTGCCCGCGCAGGGCATTGTGGGCCGGGCCCCCCTCCGCGTCGCGCCCGAGGCAGTGCGGGCCTTCGCCTCACACCATCCGGCCCGGCCTCGCCCCGCCCCTTCATCTGGTCTGCAGGTAGCTTACGGTTTTATAGCGCTGGCAGGTCAGCGTTGAAGCTGCTGTGCCGGATATTGGACTGATCAGAGCACCCGCCAGCCTACAGCCAAACCTTAACGCTGTACATGTAGGAAAGCACAAACTGAAGGTGAAGGAGAGCAGAAGGGCCAAACCGTGTCATCGGCTGTCAGACCTACAGCTTCATCTGCTGCGCTTTGGCTAAAGGAGCGGAGTGCTTCAGACAGAAACCTAAACGTGCAACAAGAACCATCCCTGGCCAGCCCAACCCAGCCGTGAGGTGGGCCCTATCTCCACCCTCACAGACAGCCTGACACCATCAGCTCCCTCCTGAGAGCACGGCCCCATGTTGGCAGGGATGCTCTGAGGATGGCCACCCCATTCTTCTTGGCCTGCAGGAAAAGCTACCCAAGTACTGCATGAGCAAGAATCAGAGCATCTGAGGCTGAGACCACACTCATCTCCCAGTTCTGTCAATCGGAGGTCCAGATATTTGCTCCAGCTGGTACTTATCTGATGATAGGCAGAGTTCAGAGCTGGAAGGTTAAGCTGTAATTGCAGTAAGCGGCCACATACATTCCTCAAAAGTGGAACAAGAAACTGCATGTTCTGGCAACAGAGGTACTGTCTCATAATTGGCAGCTTTTAGCTCAAGTTCCTCAGCTAAAAAACAGGTGGTCAGATACCCACTGCAGAAAGACTGCAAAAGCTACCAGGGCAGCAAGCAAAGGCTGGCAGAGCAGGATGTCTCTTTGCTCATGCACTTTTCTCCTGCCCTGCAGCAGCAGCAGCTGAAGTGCCCTGTAGCACCCACCAGCCATTGGGAAGTTCCCAGGGACCACTCACTTGCCCACCAGCTCCCCTCTCAACAAAGGGGCTGTTTGTGGCACAGGCCAGACCCCCTCCCAGCTAAGCCTACCTCCCCTGCCAGTGAAGGGGCTGCAACCTCTCCATACCTTCTGTCCCTGCCCAGAGAGCTGCAAAGTGTTTATGGAAGCCTGTCACGGAGCTTGAAACCAAGCCAGCCAGGAGCCTTCTGCTTCACCCAAATGCATCTTAGTGCATTAATAAAGAGCAAACATTGCAGTGTGCTTTGCATTTTTACTCACGATCCAGTACTGCATTGTCTGGAAAGAAAACAATACAGCACAGCCCCATGGTGTCTGGGAGCAGCAAGTTCACTCGCATGCACCAAGCACTGTGTCATCCAGCCCTTGAGTAGTCCAGCACCACTCCTGCACCGAGGGAGTGCAGGCAAAGGATCAAGAGATGGGAAAGGCCCACGTTGTTTTATTCCCAAAGCACTGGTTCTTATACACAGCACAGGATAGTCAAACTCAAGATCAGAACAGCAAAACGTGCAAATCCCTCAGATTCCTGCAGTCTGGGCAGGAAGGGGTTTGACTCAGAAGGCAGAAGCAGTCACCATGGCTAGGAACTGTTTGCAGACGCTGTCCTCAGAGATGAGCATTCAAAACAAATGTCACAGTCGTTCCCAGCAGCTCCCCCTTTCCAGAGCAAGCTCAGGTAGGTACCAGCCCACAGCCAGCTGAAAGCTCTCCAAATGGAAACTGGTGTTCTGCATCTGGTACAATCTGCTCTCAGGCCAGGACCTACAGCTGGAGCAGCAGAGCTGAACTGAGACACTCAAGAACAATCTAACCCTTCTCTGGCAATCATACAGAACACAGTATTGAAGCTGCAGAGCAGCCTCCTTGAGCTGAAACATCCTCCCGGCTGTTCTACATAGCCCATGTCTTAGCAGCACTTCCCAGTGATGTGAAACTCCCAGTGTTTTCCATGTTCTCTGCTTGGCCACAAGCAGCCATGCCTTTTGGCAGGAGCAACCTAACCTCAGTTAGTCATATCTTTGTCACCTCTTGGCAAGGCTACAGCTATGTGATACACCTGGGCATGAGGCCCACAGCACTTGGCAAATGCCAGCTGGACAAGCACACTGCAGTGAGAGCCCTGACTACCACAAAGGCATCAAAGCCACTCTCTGCCTCTTGGCCCAAGAGGCCAAACCATAGCGTCACTACTGATCTTCAAGGCGCTTGATGACATGAATCCAACATGGCTAAAAGGTTAGTTAAGACACAAAGGTGGAAACCATGACCAGCACACTCTGAGAGCAGCGAAACCAGGCAGCTGCAGGACTGGATCTGCCTGTAACAGAGACAGGGCTTCCTCTGAGAACACACTCCTCCCAGACAGTAAAAAGAGAATTATACCTAACCTGCTTTGTGATTCCCTTCTTCTGCATGTCCCGTCTTTCTGACAGTTCAGTCTCAGTTTAGTTTGCTTTTACTTCTTTTTTTTTTCCTTACTTACTAATTAATGTGAAGTAGTAACATCTGTTTCCTGAGCTCAGGTGAAGTCCTTGGTCTCTTCTCCAGCAGTGAATCCTCCAGCTGGTGAGATGATATGAACTGCAGCTCAGAATGTTCAGCACCAACCACAAGAGCTGCTGCTACATTTCATCAGCAAATGGAGAGCCCTCCCTCCCAGAGAGATGGTTCCTGCAAGAAGACGGCTGCAGGAGGCTGCCCCAGAGAAAGCCTTCCTGTTCCCATATTGTCTTTGTGCTGCACTCCACAGGGAACAAGGCTGAGATGGAATGCTGGTTCTTATTTCCAGTTGCCCAAAGGAAATAGCTAAAAATACTTTTGTTTCATCATTACTTTAGAGCATAAGTACTGTCTGTATTTGTTGCAGGCTACTCACAGTGGAAGGCTTGGAAGTTTGAGAGGCGATTCACATAATTCCCTTTATTGCTGCAGACCATGAGCTGGGTTTTCTGCTTCCCTTAGGCACGTAGTGAGAGATACGGACTGTCCTGGGGAGTGCCAGTGCTGCTGTGCTGTGCCTGCTCCTCGGGGAGGTTAAAATCAGAGGTGGGAAAAAACGTGGTCTGGTTTGCCTTACTGGAGGCACAAAGCAGTGAGGCAAATGGGAACCTCAGGTTGCTACTATTAATAAATGTGGTAATTTCTCATGAGCTTTTCAACACCGACAGCTTCTGTCAGGCTTTCCCACACCCCTGCACTGCCACGTTAGTGTGTTTCTGAACAGCAATCCATAGTGCCGTGTGTTCTTAACCCCTCTTCACAACCGTGCATTTCCCCTACATTTTTATGTGCCACATGATGCATTTAGCAGGCTCCCTCGGTACGTCTCATAAGTCACCGGGTTAAAATCCACTCCTATTCTCACATTATTTCCTAATCTCTAAAACACGTCGGTGGAAGAGCTCCAGGCTGACCTTTGGCACCATAAGCCGGCGCACGGGTCAGCACCGAAGCGACCCGAGGGAGGAAACCCGGCCGCAGGACCGCGCATCTCTCCCTCCCTGCCCGGCGGCGGAGGCACGGCACCCCGCGGTAGGGCCTCCAAGGGGAAGCCGAAGCGCTCCGCTCCCGGTGCGACGAGAGCTGGGATGAGGCGGGCAGTAACTAACGCGCAATCTGCATTCCCGACAGCTGCCGCCGCGCCGTGCGGGGCTGCGCGCTCAGCAGTCGGCTGTGGGTCCAGACGCGCCGGCCAGCCCCTCCGGGCCGCAGAGCCGTGCCCACCGGCAGCGCCGTGCCCGAACCCCCCACTCCCCTTCTGCGGGGCGGCCACGGCGGCGAAAGCCGTGCGGCTGGGCGGGGGCGCGGCCATCGTGGCGAAGGCGTGATCCAGCGCCCGCCTTTGCGAATCGGAGAGCCGGCGGGCGGCGGGATGCAGACGATCCGTGCGGGGATTGGTCGGTGTGGAAGCGGGGCGGGCGCGGGGCGGGCGGTGATGGACGGGGCGGGCGGCGGCGGGCGCGCAGCTGGAATGGGGCGGGCGGGAGCGGGGCGCCCGGTGCAGCTGGCGGGGGGCGCCGGCCGCCGCCATAAAGTGAATGGGCCGGGTGAATGGGCGGCAGTCGGCCGGCGCCCTCCGCCCTCCCCGTGAGCCGCAGGCCGGCAGCGAGGCGCAGCGTGCCGGGGAGTCGCGGGGATTTACTTTCTGACAGCTGCGGAGCGGCCCGGGTAGCGGGGCAGGGGCAGCGGCAGCGGCGTCAACCCGTTCGCAGGATTAAGGCCGCCGAGCCGAGCCCGCATCTGGAGCTGCTGTAAGTGCCACTCCGTCAGACACTTCCCGGGAACGGGGTGGTCCGCCGCGCTTCCCGGGGCGCCCTCGGTGCCCGTCTGGGTGCGTCCGGAGCTGGCGCGGGGCGGGAGCATCCTCGGGGCGCTCCGCTCGGCACCGCAGCGCCGTGCCCGGGGCGGGAGCTGGGGGACAGCGGGCGAAGCGGGCCCTACCTCTGCCCTGCTCGGGGCCGCGGTGCTGCAGGTCCTGCCGTCCCGTTAGGCTGCTCGGGCCCCTCCCGGCAAGCGCTCCCGGAGCCCCTGGCAGTTGCTAAACTTAGGCATTTTCCACTGGGGCGAGCGGGGCCGGGGCTGTTTAAATTAGCCGGGGCTCGCTGTAAATAACGGCGCTGCGGGCTGCGGCTCAGCTGTCTGCAGGGTCCGGGGCAGCGGGACGCGGGGAGACAGCGCCTGGGAAAAGCACAGCAGCACGACGGCGTTCGGACAGTTGGATAAATGATATTTATGTAACGGGCTGGCGCCTGTTTACAGCAGAGCCGACCTCCCTGCAGCTCCGGGGTGAGGGCGAGCCGGCCCGTGGCTGCGGGTACCCTCCGGGACAGCGGAGCCGGCCGGGCTAAGGGGGAAGGAGCGAGGGAAACGCCGACCTCCGGCGGCGGCTCCGTCGGCAGCTGCGGGGGAAGGAACGGGACCGGGCAGCGCCGAGAGGCTCGGAGCAGAGCCGGCGTCGGGCTCCGGGTTCTGGCACGGGCTCCTCCACCTTCCCGGCGATGAGCGCGGCGCGGGGAAGCCGTTACCGCCGGGGGCAGAGAGCGGAGCGGCGCCCGACGGAGCGCGGCTGTTCTGCGCTCAACGAGAGCGGGCCCGGGACGGGGGCTCCGTTTCCCTGCTCGCAGCGGGGCACGGGGCGGCTCGGCGGCGGCTCTGGGAGCGGCCCCGCGCTGCAGCTGCCGGAGCGGGCTCGGGGGGGTGGCGGGGCCCGGCCCGGTGCTGCCGAGCGGGGCACACCTGTCGGCCCCGCACCCCCGCCGCGGGACAGCTGAGCGGGACGGGACGGGCGGCCCCCCCGGCAGAGCTGCTGGGCTCGGTGCCGCGGCCCCGGCTCACTGCCGCCCGGCGGGCTGCGGGGGGAACTGGTGTGAGCTGGTGGTGCGGGAAGCAAAGAGGGCAACCCGGCGCTCCTCTACCGCTCTCTGCACCCGGCCTGCGGGATGCGGTGTGAAACGGCTTCGTCCTCGCTCCGACTTAGGGAGATGCTAAAAGCCGCAGCTCGGGAAGACGTCTTTCAAGAGCGTCACCCTTGATCGTGTCCTGCCGCACTATTGGCGATAGCAGCGAGGTCTTTCACGAGTCCCCTGGTCCCTCGAAGGGACGGACGTTTGCATAAGCTGCGTGGTGCCTTCTTACGGGGACAAAGAGCTGCTGCTGGCTCCGGAGGGATGGCGGGGCATGGAGCTGCTGCCGGACCTCACTGATATTTGCAGAAACGGGGCAGGAGGTGGTTTTTGTTACCAGATGGTCGCACTGTGCCAGGTGTCAGGCGTTGTGTGAGGGCTCAGGGCAGGGGCAGTGTTTTCGGTCTGCTGCCGGCATTGTACGAGGGCCAGCCTTCATGAAACACAGCTATATCCTGGTAACTGAAATGTGTATTGTCCCAGGCACTGCTTTGACAACTTGCAGCTCTGCTTTGGCAGAGAAATGTCTGCAAGCCTCACTTAATATCTGTTGTCTTTTGAAAGGGTTTAATTCTGGCAAATAATAGATGTGAAAACTATGCAACAAATTTGCTTGTGCACCTTATAGGAAGGTCAGCAAAAAAGCAGCATCTTTTCTGTCTGTCAGATGCTACCAAAACCATGAGATTGAGAGGTAAGGCTAACTTTGGAGGCTGCCAAGAAGAAGAAGAGGGGGGAAAAAAAAAAAAAAAAAACAGAAACCCAATCTGGGAGAGCGCACCGAAAGGAAGATGAGATGTGCCGGGGACATGAGCTCTGTCTCGTGACCTGGCACATGTGCCCCAGCTCCGGGGACAGGGGAGGTCCTGGGTTGGGAATTAAGTCCCTGTAGGGATGGCTGGTGGCCTTGCACCATGTGCCCTACAACGGGGCAAGACTGCGGAGCTGGGAGCAGGAGCTGTGGCACTGCTGCCTGCCTGAACACAGGAGGCTGTGGTTTGCGTAGGGGCTGGCCACTGGGAGAAGGTCCCCGCTTGCCATGCAGTGCTGGGGTGCAAGGGCATTAAACTCTGCCAGCTCCGGAACCTGACTTTGGGCTGGGGCACGGTGCTGGGCTACCCACGGCTTGCCTTCCGTCTGCACTGCCTGCCACCACAGCTGGGGCCGGGGAAAATCCTCCGGCAGTGTGGAGCTGGGATGCAGGCAGCCGGAGAGAGAGGATTTGTGCGGCTGCACTGTGCCTGCTGTCCTCCCTTTGTGTGCCGGCACCCCTGCCCTCCGCCTGGCTCACCTCTGAATATTAATGCCTCTGGCAGATTGGATAATAATGTGACTGGGAATTGAATGAAGCTGGTTATTAGCTCTTAGTTTGCATGGGACATTTAAGGCAGCCCTGAGGCTGCTGCTGGAGGCGTAGTGGGTCAGGCTGTACTGCAGCAGGGATGGCTCTGCACCGATTGGGACTGGCAGTGCCACCAGCTCCTGTGGGGTCTTTGTGGATAGTCCCAGGTGTGCTAGAAAAAGGGGACATGGCCTGGTGTCACAGAGGAGAAACCGAGCTCTGGCAGCGCTGAGCACCCTGCAGCCCTGAGCCAACAACACCACCTCACTGTGATGCTCTGCACTATCTCCCAAAGCATGGCTCCACCAGAAAATAGGCACTTACACTCTTTTTATCCATGCACAAGAGGAGGGAAACTGGAGTTAAAGTGCAGGAGCTGCTATTAATTTTGTACATCTGATTCTTCAACCTTTCAAGGTATTCAGAAAGGCATTGAGGTGCTCCAGCTACTCGTGATTTCAGCTGGAGCAGACCTGCATTTGTCCAATTAACCCCTCAGAAATTACCATCCGAGCTTCTGTGAATGAGCCACCTGTTTGCAAACCCCATCCAACAAGTTCCCAGCATCCCAGAAGCCAACAGCCTCAGACTTGTTAGTGTCCCTAGAACAGAGCATGTACTCGGCTGTTTCTCACAGCCCTCCTCCTGCAGCCCCCTTTATTTAAATAAATGCCATAATTTGCTGCTGGCAGAGCCTCGGGGAGGGCTGGGCTGGAGGGCTCAGCTTCAGCAGCACTGCCTGCAGACAGCACAAAGGGGAACCAAAAGCACCACCGTCAGGGCTGGGAACCCTCAGCCTCTTCTCCCAGTACCAATTCTGCGAGGCCAATTCGTAGGAGATGCCGACAATAAGCATACAAAGAGATGCATGAGAGTTCAGCCATAAATCATGCTGACCTGTCTGTGTGTGGACGTTTTTATTTACTTGCCTTTCTGAAAAACAAATAAACAGAAAATGCCTCCCAAATAAACCAGCTCCCCGCTTGGATTTGAACACGCTTTAAAAGAAATCCCTTTTGTTTTAGCCATTTTTATTTCCTGTTTGTTTCTGAGCTTAGACTTGACAATGAAAACCACATGAAATTCCCTTTTTGTTCCATCAGTTTTATTTTTGGTGCCACAATATCCAAAACTTCCAGTTCTGCAGAATTTTTTTTATTTTTGGTGGCTGCACATTTATTGCAAGGTTAATTTTTTAAAGCAAATGCATGGTTTTTTTTTTTTGTTTTTGTTTTTTTCCCGTAAAATGAAAGCCAGGCAGTCAGGAGGACGAGGTGTACCAGGGTGTTAAAAAATACTCGTACATGTGAGTGATATTCGTTGAGCTGTAAGCGCCGTGCTGGTGCAGCTCCATACCTAACGGGAGCAATCCCACAGGCGAAGAGCGGAGCAGCGCACGACTGTGCGTCCCGT